TCAAGGCAACGCCATCGCCGGGAGACCACAGCTATGCTTACCACTAGACGCCGACAGACTTGCCCTTCGAGATTTCTGCTTCCGACCAAAGACGACAATTCTTGTATGTTTTTCTCAGGCAGCCGTGCCTTACGCTGGCCCATGTATGTTTTATGTTATGTTCAATAAATGTGTATCCACGAACTGACTTCGTTCTCAGTTTCAAATACACAAAAGTTATTATTCCTTTACCTATTCGTAATAGCCATATCTGGTTGTTTTGGTGATAACAGATAGGAGAGACCAGAGTAGGTTGTCACAATTTTAGATATTTAATTTTTAAAGAGGCTGTGTTTATAGTTTCCTTTCCAATGATAAACACATCCCATAATATGTACCCTTGGCTTTATTTTTCTACAAATTGGAGGTTAGAGCAGAATTTACTTTGAGAAAAACGGTCTGTCAGAGTAATGTTTTAAGAAACCTACCCTGACCCCGGGTTGGTGTTCTTTGACATTAGGGTTTGTTGTCACGTGTTAGATTAGATGAAAAAATAGACGTTAATTGTTAGCAAAAATATTTGTATTAAAATGAAAATTAATTAGTGATATTGTTAAAGCAATAATACATATTGAAGTCGAATTTAAGATACAAAAATATTCATGGAAGGGAATATTTAAGAAAATATCTGATAAGAACCTAGCCACTTTCAAGCGCACTTTCACAATTTTGATATGGTTAAAAGTTATTTGCTACAGGGGTACATAATTCTTTAGCTTACTTCTTACATTCTATACACAGGTTCCATTTTTCCTCAGCTTTATTGTTAGAAAACGGTTCAAGGCTAAAAAAAATCATAATTGAGATTTTTCATTCCTCCTGCGTTTTACTTAATTTCATAATTATTTGCTTTCTCATTACGTTTAGATGATTTTTAAAGAGACTTTTCTTTGATTTTCTTTTTGCTAATTCAGTTAATTCGTGGAGCTTTCTTTTAACTGGTTAAAATTGCCGTAACTCGTGTGCGTGAACTATTTCTATTTATATTTTCCTCACTGCTGCAAGCACGATGTCCCTCGTACATGATTTCGATGATATGACTTGAATGATAATGTAGCAATGGCGCACTGAGAAACAGAGGAAATGGGGAAACCCTGAAAATCCTGCCACCCACCCACTTTGGCCTCTGCAAATTCTACATAGCTAGAGACTGGTGATATGAACGGCGATTGTTAAGTTTCCCTTTCAGCAAAAATTCTTCCTCTAGTTGAGCGTTGCAAGCTCGTTCTTCTCCGCGCCGAATCAAACGCCGGTCTCTTTCACAAGCACTCCTCGGAGACCAAAACATTGAATCTGCCTACGGTCGAGCCAAAGGCGATTGTGTAACGCCCAACCGGGGGACCTTTTCAGCATCCGTAAGGACGTCTGCAGCAGGCGATGTTCAAAGGAAAGTTCACCACGATTGTGCCTGACACACTGAGAATAACTGCAGTGAATACAAGAGTACAAAATTAGAGAATATGTCTTACAGGTTTAGAACAGACTTATTTACCTTTGAGTCCTTGGTTACAGAAAGAGTTTCTTCTGGCCGTTCTTTACCTGGGAGCACGGGCATCTTCGTCTCTTTCTGAAGCACACCGGTGATCTACCCAAGGTGGCCATGCTCAAGTGAAATATTATAATATATTAGGACATACCTACCTGCCTGACTTTTGTGCACCATAAATCATTTGACAGTCGATTTATTCATTATTTCGTGTTTTTTGGGTGGGCCAACTGCCATGAATATTAGTCCCGTAAGTGTAGTGAACGTTATATCACAGGAGGTGACGATGTTCTTGCCCTGCTGAATGGTGTGAAACCTACATGTCGACATGAGGAAGGGGGTCCTCATCTAGGTATCTCCCACCAGGGGGGACATCGCCTGCTGGGACAAGCTCTATGCTCTCGACTGGCCTCCCAACATGTGAGGTACGATAATGCATATAAGCGTGTGTGTAAGCAATGAGAA